AAATTATTCATATATTAAGACAACTTATGGGCCAGATCAAATTTACTGAGCGAACTTCTAAAGGGGTAGCAGCCAAAAACCAGATAATAAAAAAATCGTTTTCAACCCTTAGGGAATGGGTGTCCTCGATGAAAAGTATCTCGAAAAATTATTCATTTATTGAGACAATTTTTGGGCCAGATCAAATTTACTGAGCAAACTTCTAAAGGGGTAGCAGCCAAAAATCAGATAATAGAAAATTCGATTTCAACCGTTAGGGAATGGGTGTCCTCGATTAAAAGTATCCCGAAAAATTATTCATATATTGAGACAATTTATGGGCCAGATCAAATTTACTGAGCGAACTTCTAAAGGGGTAGCAGACAAAAACCAGATAATAAAAAAATCGATTTCAACCCTTAGGGAATGGTTGTCCTGGATGAAAGGTATCTTGAAAAATTATTCATATATTAAGACAATTAATGGGCCAGATCAAGTTTACTGAGCGAACTTCTAAAGGGGTAGCAGCCAAAAACCAGATAATAAAAAAATCGTTTTCAACCCTTAGGGAATGTGTATCCTCGAAGATGGGTATCTCGAAAAATTATTCATATATTAAGACAATTTATGGGCCAGATCAAATTTACTGAGCGAACTTCTAAAGGGGTAGGAGAGAAAAACCAGATAATAAAAAAATCGATTTCAACCCTTGGTGAATGGGTGTCCTGGATGAAAAGTATCTCGAAATATTATTCATTTATTGAGACAATTTATGGGTCAGATCAAATTTACTGAGCAAACGTATAAAGCGGCAGCAGACAAAAACCAGATAATAAAAAAATCGATTTCGACCCTTAGGGAATGCGTGTCCTCGATTAAAAGTATCTCGAAAAATTATTCATTGATTGAGACAATTTTTGGGCCAGATCAGATTTACTGAGCAAACTTCTAAAGGGGTAGCAGCCAAAAATCAGATAATAGAAAATTCGATTTCAACCGTTAGGGAATGGGTGTCCTCGATTAAAAGTATCCCGAAAAATTATTCATATATTGAGACAATTTATAGGCCAGATCAAATTTACTGAGCGAACTTCTAAAGGGGTAGCAGACAAAAACAAGATAATAAAAAAATCGATTTCAACCCTTAGGGAATGGTTGTCCTGGATGAAAGGTATCTTGAAAAATTATTCATATATTAAGACAATTAATGGGCCAGATCAAGTTTACTGAGCGAACTTCTAAAGGGGTAGCAGCCAAAAACCAGATAATAAAAAAATCGTTTTCAACCCTTAGGGAATGTGTATGCTCGATGATGGGAATCTCGAAAAATTATTCATATATTAAGACAATTTATGGGCTAGATCAAATTTACTGAGCGAACTTCTAAAGGGGTAGCAGCCAAAAACCAGGTAATAAGAAAACCGATTTCAACCCTTAGGAAATGGGTGTCCTCGATGAAAAGTATCTCGAAAAATTATTCATATATTAAGACAATTTATGGGCCAGATCAAATTTACTGAGCGAACTTCTAAAGGGGTAGCAGACAAAAACCAGATAATAAAAAAATCGATTTCAACCCTTAGGGAATGGGTGTCCTCGATGAAAAGTGTCTCGAAAAATTATTCATATATATATATATATAAAATTTAGGGGCCAGATAAAATTTACTGAGCGAACTTCTAAAGAGGTAGCAGCCAAAAACCAGATAATAAAAAAATCGATTTCAAACCTTAGGGAATGTGTATCCTCGATGAAAAGTATCTCGAAAAATTATTCATATGTTAAGACAATTTATGGGCTAGATCAAATTTACTGAGCGAACTTCTAAAGGGGTAGCAGCCAAAAACCAGATAATAAAAAAACCGATTTCAACCCTTAGGGAATGGGTGTCCTCGATGAAAAGTATCTCGAAAAATTATTCATATATTAAGACAATTTATGGGCCAGATCAAATTTACTGAGCGAACTTCTAAAGGGGTAGCAGAGAAAAACCAGATAATAAAAAATCGATTTCAACCCTTAGGGAATGGGTGTCCTGGATGAAAAGTATCTCGAAAAATTATTCATATATTAAGACAATTTATGGGCCAGATCAAATTTACTGAGCGAACTTCTAAAGGGGTAGCAGCAAAAAACCAGAAAATAAAAAAATGATTTCAACCCTTAGGGAATGGGTGTCCTCGATGAAAAGTATCTCGAAAAATTATTCATATATTAAGACAATTTATGTGCCAGATCAAATTTACTGAGCAAACTTCTAAAGGGGTAGCAGCCAAAAGCCGGATAATAAGAAAATCGATTTCAACCCTTAGGGAATAGGTGTCCTCGATGAAAAGTGTCTCGAAAAATTATTCATATATATATATATATATATATATATATATAAAATTTAGGGGCTAGATAAAATTTACCGAGCGAACTTCTAAAGGGGTAGCAGCCAAAAACCAGATAATAAAAAAATCGATTTCAACCCTTAGGGAATGGGTGTCCTCGATTAAAGGTATCTCGAACAATTATCCATTTATTGAGACAATTTATGGACCAGATCAAATTTACTGAGCAAACTTTTAAAGGGGTAGCAGCCTAAAACCAGATAATAAAAAAATCGATTACAACCCTTCGGGAATAGGCCTCCTCGATGACAAGTGTCTCGAAATTTATCCATATATTAATTAAAATATAGGGGCCAGATCAAATTTACAGAGCGAACTTCTAAAGGGGTAGCAGACAAAAACCAGATAATAAAAAAATCGATTTCAACCCTTAGGGAATGGGTGTCCTCGATGAAAAGTATCTAAAAAAATTATTCATATATTAAGACAATTTAGTGGCCAGATAAGATTTACTGAGCAAACTTCTAAAGGGGTAGCAGCCAAAAACCAGATAATAAAAAAATCGATTTCAACCCTTAGGGAATGGGTGTCCTCGATGAAAAGTATCTCGAAATATTATTTATTTATTGAAACAATTTATGGGCCAGATCAGATACACTGAGCAAACTTCTAATGGGGTAGCAGCCAAAAATCAGATAATAGAAAATTCGATTTCAACCGTTAGGGAATGGGTGTCCTCGATTAAAAGTATCCCGAAAAATTATTCATATATTGAGACAATTTGTGGGCCAGATCAAATTTACTGAGCAAACTTCTAAAGGGGTAGCAGCCAAAAACCAGATAATAAAAAAATCGATTTCAACCCTTAGGGAGGTCCTCGATGGAAAGTATCTCGAAATACGATTTCACCATTGGCGATCGATGTTTTGATTTTTATTACTTGTTCGGTTCGAGGTGCGACGGTTGTCAAATTTAAGTCGTTATAAAGCTGATGAAATTTTAGTCTAATTTTGGCGTAGGGCGTATTTAAAGTTCCTCTGCTTAAATTCATATCGGCTCTCAATAATTTTAGATTATCTAATCCAATCAATCCATTGAAAATATTGTGAAATTTAAATAGGTAAAACTTCAAATCCATACGATTAGAAAGATTGAAAATTTTCGATGCCGGGATGGATGCACTATATTTGTGAGCGGATTTTTGAAAAACAGTTGATACAACAAATGGATCATCTCTGATTAAATTTGGAAGAAACTACGAGCAATACTGGGATCAATAAATGACTTAGTTGATCCAGAATCGATCAACATTTTAATTCCATATTCGGGAAAAAGAATGTAGGATAGTTCGCTAGCGTTGCTGGCGTTAAGTGAAATTACTTCTGGTGCTAGGTCTTGTGGTCTAAGAATGAGTCCTTCTGAAAATTTTGAGGTGGTTCGACGTGATCAGTTTCAGGATTATCTTGTGTATAATACTCGCAATATGGATCAGTGTAATATGTATCTGAATTTCGTGGTTCAGCTACAGTTTGATCGCAAACAAAAGATTCGTTACCAGGAACTGCATAGGTGTTATTACTTTCTGTCTCTGTATTGAATAGCTCTTCAGTGATCCAATTTGATTTTGGTTGTTGCTGGGCTGTCGAATTATGTTCAGGTTTGAAAGAAATTCTAGTAGAAGTACTCATTGGAGTAGTTTGTGGCAAAGTATGGTTAGGGTTAGGTTTGAAAACATTTCTGTTATTCTGTGTTTGTCTAAAAACCTGAGAATTCGTTGGAAACGTCTGAGGACGATAAACTGGCCTTGGCAAGTTTACAGGTCCAGTCGGAAAAGTCGAATTGAACCTAGGTTGAAATGTTGAAGTGTTCGGCTGACTGAATGGATAACTAGTAGGCTGAAAGTATGAAGGTCTATTTTGATTAATCATTGGCCTTTGCATTGGCCTAGAAGTTTGATTCTGTGGCACATTTTGTGATTTTCCAAAATTTTTGTTATAATTTTGGAAATAGCTGACATTGTCTTCAGATATAACGAATTGTAAAGCTTGGCTGACAGATGTGGGTTTCATACATCTAATTGTTGTACCCAAGGGCTCTCGTAGTCCGGACAAAAATGTTTTCAGAGCTAATTCTTGATATAAATTTCTTTTTATCACTTTTGCTTCTTCAGAATGTTCATGTACGTTTACATGGCTGCATAGCAGATTCAAAATATGAAGACACTTATCATAAAATTTTTGAGGCGTTTCATTTGGCATTTGCCTCAACATAACCAAATCACAGTTTAGACAAGTTTCATCTATTTGATCAGAAAAATTCTTAGTCTTTTAAATCTGCCCAACTTGGGATATTTTGGATATTCACATGCACTTTAGCATTTCCTTTTAATTTCGAGATCAGTGAATTCAGCAAATAGATATTTTGGAAATTATGTGGGTTCCGTATATAATAAAAATTTGCAATTAACGTTTTACTCACTGATAGAAACCTATTTAAGTCATTAGGATTTCCGTCAAACCGTCAAACTCTGGGACGCAATTTAAAAATTCTGGTCTGAATTGAGACATGCTTGGAATATTTTCAATATTTAATCTAGGTGGTCTTAAAATAGGTGAGTCTGTTGAAAGTGTCAAATTATCTATAGCCTCTGCAATATCTTCCAAAGACATTTAAAATGTATAGTTGCACTTACGCTAATACGAGGATGATCAAGTGCATCACGTTTCTTTCTTTGTCTTTACTTGGTTGCTTAACTAAGGGGAAGATCTTGGTTGGGCGATCTGGTCCTTCTCCAAAATGTTCCGCTTGCAGATTTGGGCGATGTGTGGTCCAAATCCCTGGCTTCGTAGGTGGTACCTGCACGCGGTGTCTTCGATAGACCGGTTCCGCTCGAACTCCCATCACCAAAGTCTTTAGTCCGTAGGCCGTTTTTCCGGTAAATTCGTCGATACGAAAACTGCTTTCGCGATCTCGATAGATTCGCGAAACAGCCCGAAAATCCGATCTGGCTGCCCCAATTATCTGACCGAGTCAGTCTACTTTGCTTTTTAAAAAGATTTATTTTCGATTATCAAAATACAATTCTATTGATGTATATAGTATGAGAGCTAACAACAGACTGACTAACTGTGAATACAATAAAATAAGACTGGATAAGGCAAAGCGCTGATCCAGGGAAACTCGATCCTCTTCTTTAGTAGTAGGGGTAAATCTTCAGTACTATAACGCATACATCTGCGGCTCACACAAAGACATTCATTTTTAAGAACAGAACATCGCTATTATATACTTACATGTTCAATTTTCAACAAAACTAGGTCCCATAGTTAATTTTAAATTCACAATCACGATCCACAATGTATTTATCATTTTTCGATTTACAAACAGGACTATTGTTTACCATCGTATGTCACTTTAATTCCACCGGTTGCTCTCGATTGCTAGTGGCGCTGTTTCAGTCGCAAAAACTGCATTCAATGACAGTTGGGCAACCGGTTGCCAATTGCGTTAGGGAATACGAAGTTTTCGGTTGGTGGTCGGTTGCTCACCGATCAGAAATTGGAAATGTTTACGTAATAAGCCTTCCGTCCCCTTGTGTGACGTCAGGACTTATGCCGGTATTTATAGTCGACACTCATATAGACCCTTTAGATCCCCTTAGCCAAGGAAGCCTCAAGGGTCCCTTAACATTCGTTTTTATAAACGTAACTCAAGCTCCCCTCGGATGAGTAGGCCTTTACATTTGGCAACATCGAAACGTGACGAAACATAACCCATAAACTTGTCCAATACAAATAAACAAACATCCATAAAACAATAAACTGGTAGAAAATTCCAAAAGTTTTAGCCCTTTGCAAACCAGATATTTATCTTTGGCATTCATATTCCCAGAGTGATCCAGATTTTCAGTGTATTTTCAAAATTCCTGATAGGAACTTCCTGTTGCCGCAATTACTTTATTTATTAATAAAATGAATAATACAAACAAGAGTAAGTACAAAAATGTATATTTAATTTAAAGTAATTACTGTATAATCTATTCCATAGATTCATGCGAGCGAAAAGTTTTTTCCGAAAGGGACAAATTGTTGCTTATATCATTAGTTAATAGTTATAAGCACATACTAGAAAATAAGAAAACAGATGCCACCAATGTCGAAAAGAAAAATGGGGCCTGGAAGGAAATTACAGATCTATATAATGCAAATGATGTTTGTCCTAGAACTGATAAGCAATTGAGAAAATTGTGGGAGAATTTGAAACAAAGGTATATAGGAAATACATAATTTGTCTTTTTCTAACTTATTACCAAATATGTTTTTGTTTCAGAACTAGGAAAAGTGATTCAGAAATGAGAAAAAGTTTAATTCAAACTGGAGGTGGACCACCAGTGAAAAGTGAAGATAATCCAATAAATGAACGAGTTCGGTCAGTTGTCCCTACAATTAGTTATGTAATTGAAAATGAGTGGGACAGCAATTCTGTGATCCCTTCCGAGAGTGAGTATAATATGGTACCAATGGCTCACTTCACATTTACCTATTTTTGTATTACAATGTCATTAGATTCTCAACTTCAATCTGAACCCAACGCATCTCAAGCATTTATTGAAGTTACTGATGCACAGTCAAATATGGGCGACATAGACCAAGATAACCAGTGGTAAACGGTGTGTATATTCTCTATTATAATTATTATTGTCAAATTAAAATATTCATATATTTTTTAGGACAACCGAATGGGAATAACACATCTGAAAATTTTATAACTCCACAGAAGAAAAGAAAAAGACCATCAGTATGTGGGACCCATTCAACAAGAACATCACTAATTGAACAGGAAGCTCTTCTAAGAATACAGAAATTGAAAAGATCCATGGAGCACGATGAAGAACTCCATTTGATTAAAAAGCAGGCAGCCGAGGCAGAAAAACTATATTGGGAAACAAAATTAAAAAAATTGAATCAATAAAGTAGTTAATTACATATTGTGTTTGTGCTAAAAGTTATTTAAAGCAAAGAAACAGCGTGTTACAAATTTTGTTGTAAAATAGATACACCAGATGAAATTTTCAATTTTTATTTATTAAAAATGAGTTACTATAAAAGTTCTTCTAAAGGCTAATCCATCACCTGGTCGATCATTAACAATAATTATATTATCAACCCAATCACCATCTTCGTTAAGCTCATTTTCTTCAAAGACATCATTCAAGTTTCTAGCAATGTTGTGTAAAATTGCTGTTGCACATATAATAGCGATCGAAGTTTCTTCTTTGGTTTGAAGTATTCTTCTCAAGCATGGGAATCTTCTTTTCCAGACACCAAAAACGCGTTCAACTATATTTCTAGTTCTTATATGTGCTCGATTGTAATTTTCTTCTGACTCTGTTACAGGATTTATAACAGGAGTTAACAAATACCTTCGGCATGCATAACCATTGTCACCCAATAGAATTTCTAAAATGAGTAGTTACGTTTAAATATAAATGCTATAGAATACTAATTACATACCTTGTACTTCATTACTTTCAAATTTTACTCGTAGACCACTTTGTTCAAATATAACATTGTCATGTGTAGAACCTGGATGTCTTGCAACAAGATTTAACATTTCTAAATTTGGTCCACATGCTACCTAAAATTTACGAGTATAATACACTAATTTTATTATCAAAAGGCAAGCAGAATAAATAATCAAAAGTAATGAGTTATGTATTAGATTATTACTAAAATATTCTTACTTGAACATTAATGGAAAACTGCCCTTTCCTGTTTCTGAATATTTCTCCTATATTGCCACCAGGGTTCTTTATTAATATATACTAAGTGACGTATACATCCGAACACCCAGTTTAAATGGTTTTATTTTAATAAAATTTTGTATAAGTACTTAATGAAGCATAATAAGTAAATGATAAAAATTTCAAAATGATTGCACTGCTTTAAAGCCCTTTGACCTTTAATAATGTGTGGATGCACCCTGATGTGCTACGCATTCTCCAACGCGCCTAGGCATGCTTCTGATCAGGTGGTCAATGTCCTCCTGTGGTATCTCATTCCAGGCAACCACCAACTCCTCTCGAAGTGCTTCTGGAGTCTGAGGACGACGTTGCAAATTGAGCAATCTCCTACCCATCATATCCCAGACGTGCTCAATTGGGGATAAGTCGGGAGATCTTGGTGGCCATGGTAACAATGTGACATCATTATGTTGAAAAAAGTCTATTGTGACTCTTGCAACATGTGGTCGGGCATTATCTTGTTGGAAAGTTGGATCTGCCAGGGTGTCAAGATAGGGTAAAAGATGGGGTTCTAGAACTTCGTGGATATAACGCTGCGCGTTCATGTTACCTCTGATGAAGATTAAAGGTGACCTGGAACCATAAGCTATAGCACCCCAAACCATAACTCCAACAGTGTGATGAACATGTCTTTCAACAAAATTCCTCCTTTCACCACGTCGCTTTCTAAGCCTGGCACGACCATCGTGCATGCCTAAACAAAATCGAGACTCGTCACTAAAGACAATACTGTTCCATTCCTGATCCCAGAGTGACCGTTGTCTGCACCATTCAAGGCGATTACGTCGGTGTTCTCGAGTTAAAGGGAGGACCCAGTGTGGCCGGTATGAAAAGAAGCCAAAACTTCTCATTCGTCGGTAAACACTTCGCAAGCCAATAGGTCTTCCGTGTTCTGCAAACCATTCATTTGCAATGGACCTGGTAGTGGAGAAACGGTCCCTTAAGGCCAATAATCTTAGGCGGCGATCTTCACGGTCTGTTGTTCTACGGCGGCGTCCAGTGCCCCTTGCTCTTTGCGTACGGCCTTCTCGAAGCCATGCCTGACAACACCTAACCACAGTGTCTACATTTCTTTGCACTCTAACTGCAATTGCTCGAAAAGAAAGTCCAGCTTCCCGAAGTCCCACTATACGGCACCTATCAAACTCACTAAGTTGACGAAATCGTACAGGTCTCCGTACTCTAGGCATCGTAACCGATCGTAAAGAATGTCAAGAACCAAAATCCGCCAACGTTGATTCTTTACTGCGGCTGAAATATTCATTTTTAGAGCGTTAGTGAATTAAAAAAAAAGCAGTATAAAAACCGGAATGTCCAAGTGATAAGGCTGAAAATTTTTTCACTTGTTACTTACAGTAAGATAAATACATTCACCAACTTTTATTAAAATAAAACCATTTAAACTGGGTGTTCGGATTTATATGTCACTTAGTATATGTGTTCCATCCACTCAAGCCGCCACATTAGGGAAATTTGCCATCCGAAATAAGTGTAAGTGTAAGTGCAATTGAAACCCTCCTTATAATTAAAGAGGCAGAGGCTTGGGAAATACCTCGAAGGTCTGCAGCAACTTCCTACAAAACATACTTTATTACTATTGTTAAAATACAGCCTCTTGTAAATTAAGCGAACTATGCGTTTTGAACAAACTTCTTTTAATAACGAACAAGTACCACTTTCTACATCGAATGGTAAACTGCGAATAAATACAATATCTATGTGAATCACTTTTTGCAGCTCGGCAGAGTGTTTTTTCCCGTCGTTCTTGCCGACCGGTCCGTGGTGACTCACCCAGACCACACGTACATACATATATTGATACAGCTGGTTCGATCGTTTCCTAACACTATATTTAATACTGGGAATGTTATTTGATGTATTGGAAATATACCTGATAATTTCCTGTAGCATAAAACCGTAGAGAAACTAATGTCGGGTTCATGCACGACTTATATGGTGGGTTCATGCACGATTTAAGCTAACTTAACTTAAGAAAATGAGCATTACATGCGCATGCGCGGCCAGGATTGCCAACGTAGCAGTTGAGGCAACATGAAAGTTAAATACCCTTAAATAATCATATGTTTAACGTCAAAGTAGCAGATGAAAGAGTGTTTTGTGGCTTATGTGTCACGTGGACTGGCGGGCCAGCCTTGACGTTGACAAGTGGCCCCTCCCTACACGCTTGCGCCAATGCAGGTCAAAGAACTCGGATAATAGTCCAGATAATATGGGAACATCTGCTCGGAAAACTCTTCCGATTCCTATTTTTGCATAATCTGATTCAAGGACCTCTTAAAGAATCTGCATGTGACTAGGCCCAAAATTGCTCCAAAAATTGTTATTAAACCGATTCCAAAAATTGATTTGTTCGCTTTGTTTAAAGTATTTTGCGGTTTTTAGGACATTCTAAATAAAAAATGAGCTTTAGAACTTTTCTCTAGACTTGATATATACAGGTATAAGCAATGTAAAAACTCAAAATATGTCATTTGCTACCCTAAAAACAATATGAAAAATGAATATTTTGTTGTTGCCAAATCTCACACATGCTTCAACCAACCAATAACAAAACCCCCAGAGCATTTGAATGCGCGCTCAATGTATAGTCTATGTCTATGTGAACGCGAGAGAGATGAAATATCTCTCGTGCACGCTGAATATGCATTGAGCGTCCGCTTGCATATAAACTAAATACAAAAATTTATAATAACAGTATCTCCTAAAAGGTATCGTTAATGGTTATTTATGAAGCATGGCGACATTAACATTTTCGTTTTTTCAGATCGTTTTTCGGTATCGCAAAATCAATTTTTTGTACTTTCCCATCTCGTACAAAATCAATTTTTGACAAACATTGTCAAACATCATTTTGTTTCGGAGTATCAAAAAAACGAATGCTACCTTTGATGAAGCGAAAACATTAATTTTTGTAATTTATTTGAAAAAGTTGTTCAAACAATTAGAGACGCAATTTGGAGCCTGACAACATGTAGATTTGTTACTAGGAGGGTTTTTCGAATAACATGCAAAAAGCTCGAATCCGAATATTTTCCTGAGCAGATGTGAAGATATTTCTTGGACTATAACCTCGACGGCAGCGCCACTTTTCTTGGCTGGAAATCTGGTGGAACTATAAATATTGAAAGTATGCCGACAACGCATATCAGGAATGTCAGGAATGTGTCGGCGATTTCATTTGTTTACATTATGAAATCTGACTGACGACCGATATTGAGGCAGTTCGATCATCATAGATGCATAACACATCCTCAATAAAGGGAGTATTTCTTTCATCAGTTTGACTAGTAATGAATATCAGGATAATAAAAAAATGTATAATTAAAAAAATATTTACTGAACAGTCACAGCAATAATAGAACAAATTCTTCATTACAATAAATTGTACATACATAGAGGTATTCTACTCATCTGGATTTTTCTCTATATTATGAACCTGATCAGTGCAATATCATGCAAGCACTATCTCTTGTTAATTGATCAGGTATATTTATTGCAAAAACATAAATACTAAAATAACAAAAAATACATCTGTAGGTAGAGGACTGACTGGAATACAAATATAATCACTCTGATATGTGAATCAAAAATAGTTTTGCGCACACTGTTTAATGGGTAAAGGCAAACAAAATTGTCCTCAACAAAAAAAAACTACATAAAACAGTAATTGTTTCTTCAAACTAGGAAATAAACTCTCATTGACAATTAATTTGGTATCCATAAAATAAATGACGATCTTCATTCCAACTGTCTCCTCGAAGGATTTTGACACTGTGAAACAAAAAAAAAATTATTAGCATAATATCACTGTCATATTTGGTCAGCAAGCACTAAACAGAAACATAGTCATCTCACCACGCCCCTTCAGATGATACTGCTCTGTACATATGTATAAATTCCCAATCTAGCAGTATACATTTGATTGCCAAAATTCTGTGTTTAAAAAAAAAATTTTCATTGGTGATACCAAATGCCAGTTCTTAATTTGGCCCTTTACCAGGTTTGTTATTATCAACAGTACAGATGTCACAAAAAAAGTTACGTGCTACTCAATCTGTTTACCTCAATAAACGTCAAAAGAGATTACATATTTGGTGGGCTGCGAATACACAGCATTCGTCAGGTGTACACCTGGTTTGTAGTTAATGACAAAGTACCTTCACAGTGTTCTGTGAGGTTTTGGAAAAACATGTCATGGGGGGCATGGTATAGATTTAAATTCTCTTTTTTCTTCTGTAGGGGCTATAATTTGCCAACATCACCACTGGTACAGTCTCAGACATGAAAGTGTTTGCATCTATCAGCTATGAAGTCAGTACTACAAGCACAAAATTTTAAGATCATTTCCATTTTTTTTTTCGTTCTCTAGAATATAATTTCAAAATCCTCTATCTTGGTATTTTTTTCATGCTGCTTTTTGATCTAATTTATGAAGGAAACATGACCACTGACTTTAATTATTATAATTTTTAACATACATGATTTTTTTTATCAATCCGCCCCGATGTTCAGCTCTAAACTGTCATGCGTAAGCAAGCGCAAATAATTTTTCATACAAGTATCACCGAACCATCTGCCCATACAGCGATATAAAATCGATCAAACATCACGATATGAATATCGACTATCGACTTTTGTACAGTATCGATGGCTCGTAGCCATCTTCTAATTCCAGCTGTAGCGATCAGTTGACCAACGCTAGTGATCCGATTGGTTGGTTCTTAAGGAAAAGTTCAATATATTGAACTTTAATTTAAGAAGTGACCTTGAAATTAAGAAAACGACCATAACCTCAATATATTTGTCATTTATGCAAAAATGAACTGATTTGGATACTTACTGCAACGTCATCATTAGGCGCTCTTCTGGCGATGTCCGATTGCGTTCAGGTGACTTCTGCAGGTACCTCTTCAACAAGGTCAGGAGTTGATACCACCGCGGCTTTTCGTTATTTTGCTCTAGGCATGGCCATCCTCAATTAATCGCACAAAAAACAAGTCAAAGGCAGAAAAACACACCCGAAGACGAACACCAAAACAAATCTCTACCACAAATTCGTCAACAACTCAAACAAAAACAACAGATGAGTCACTGCCTGGCTTTCTGGGTAAATCGTCGTGGAACACGGGACACCACAGAATTATTATAATTACGTCAATACGAGCATAGAACAGTATGGAAAGGGCTATCCAAGGGTAAGACGAGTTCCGAAACCACCCGAATCATGTCAAAAAATGGGTGTGACGTCACCAAAACGTTTGACCACCACTGGAAGTCACTAGCTAGTTACTATCTGGAGGCGTAACATGTGGAGGACACTGGTGTAGAAACAGCTGATCCTTAAGTTCGGTTAGTTTAAGTCGTGCATGAATCCTTCCTGCTGAACCTGCTTCTTCCACATATTTTACCCATTCGATAAAATCAAGAAAATTGTCCATATCCATTATTTTTCTAAACACAAAATGTCAAAGACATTAAAATAGGTACCAAATATTAAACTGAAGGAGCCTTCAAGGTACCTTTGATGCTCCCTCAAGTTTGATAGAAACTTAAGGGTCCCTCAAGACAGACAAGCCGACTATAAATGTGAAATCTCGACTTAAGGGCGACTCACAATTGAGTAAGCCTCAAGTGAGCTTTATAAATACGGGCATTAGGTAGTCCATCGGTTAGCGACGGAGGCGGTTCATCGCGTGCCTCTCTTCGTACGCGCTTAGTCGCCTAGTCTAGCCCACATTAAAATTTTAATTATTGATTTAATTCCCAATCAAGAAATTATGGTTCATAATCTTCATATAATAATAGTAATAATAACCTTTATCATATATTTTTCAATGTAAAACACTTGTGATTGTATGCAGGAATACTTAAGATTGCATACTTCAATAAACTTGTTTTTCTTTTGTAAATCAGTCTTGTCTGGATTTAGGGTTGCCTCTTCGTACATCGCTACTTTAAAGTACTCATGCAAATATCCTTGCAAAAATTACTATTTCCACATTGTTTGGAAATCTGCTTGTATATACAAAAATAAAGTAATCCGTCGTTTTCCAAAAAATTAAAAAATTGTGTTGCATGGAAGGCAGCTTGTAAGATATCTCCCACTCATAAAGTTTCCAATTATTATGTTTCACGTCTTCACGTCTCAGATATCTTGCCATACCAGTGTCCCCCACCACAGTTTTAAATTCAAATAATTGTCATCCTACTAAACCAGGTCCCAGTTCAGTATCTAGAGTTTTATTCAATGACCCTCCTTCTGAAGAGGCTACCACAAATCCAACCCCTTCTGAGCAAAACGAAAATTCCAGTGTTATTCTGGAAGATAAAAACATTGAAATCAGTGGAAGTGGTTCTAGAACAGAATCTAATTATTTAGATAAATATTCTGTTTTGTTAGAGAAGGGCTCTGGCATATTAACAAAATCTGGTACATCAAAGGAGGAATCAATTATGTATAAAGTCCACCGGAATGTTTGTTCAAGGCTATCCAAATTAAAATCAATTTTGAAAAATGAAAGAGTCCATTTGTATTCATTGAAAAGCTTATATGAGCATGGTCGTTTTCAATATATCGAAGGAAATCTTAATGAAGTTACCAAAAGTTTTATTAATTCTCAGTTGAGAGATGTCAATAAACATCCAAATGCTTACCGCTGGACAATTAGAGACAAAACTTTTGCACTTGCACTGTTCAAACGATGTGCACGCTTGTACAGATACCTCAGGGCCTTTTTAAGTTACCATCAGTGAGATCATTAAAATCAATTTTATCATCAGTTCCTTTCGAATAAGTGGACCTTTTTTAGAACATTTAAAAACTAGAATTGAAAAGATGGATGAGTTGAACCGCGGTTGTACTCTAATATTTGATGAAATGTTTCTTAGTTCTGGCCTTCATTATGAAGTGAAAGAACAAAAGATATGTGGATTTGAGGATTTGGGTACACTTGGATGCAGCAAAGAAAAAGGAAATCATGCTCTTGTGTTTATGGTGAGAGGGATACAGCAAAACTATAGAATTCCTGTAGCTTATTTTTTCACTAAATATATAATAATGTCAAACTCAAGGATATTATAGTAATCATTATAAAGCAGCTGCAGGATATTGGTTTGAATGTTATTGCTACTGTATGTGATCAGGGTACTACAAATAGAACTGCAATAGCCTAGCTAACTCAGGCTCACACTGATGATAAAGCAAGCCCATATCATTTTGTTGTTAATAGTCATAAGATATATACAATTTTTATGTACTTCACTTACTTAAAAATACCAGGAATGCCGTATTAACATCTCATATCTAATAATATATGAGAAAAACAAGATAGCCAAATTTTGCTACATTTATGAGGCATTTCTGGCCGATAGGACAAAACGAACATATAGATGTTTGAAAAATTTAACTGAGAGTCATTTCAATTATAAAGATTCGTTTATAAAAATGAAAGTAAATGTTGCTGCCAGACAGCTAAGTCACACTATGGCAGCTGCAATTGAGACATTCTACACATCTGAGCATATAACACAATCAGAGTCGCTACAAAATTCTTTGAAAAGGAGTGGTGAGACTACTAAAGGTCATATATCAACAAATAAGAAATTCAAGACAGCTAAAGTCAGGTAATGTTTTTTAAGTAGCAACACTCTTCATTCATTGAATTTTCTATTTACTTTCATTAACCAAATACCACTCTGATATTACACCTAAACAATATCTTTTTTTGTTTCATGGTTGCAACATCCTTGGGAGGGAGGAGTTGAACGAAGAATAATTATTTATTTTGTTACTTCCTGTAATGTTAAAGCCATCAGGAGCTTTTGGTTTTAAGTATGAGGAATGTCTTGTTTATTTTTAACTTTGATTCCTTCTTTGAAGAAAATTTTTCTCATTTTTACACTATAACCGTGGGTGCAAATTTATTTTCTCAGATTATATTTTTATTTCCGTTATTTATTTAACTACAGAGATTTATTTTTTGTTGTTTTAGTATGAATGTCTACGTTTCAGTCATAAATATACCTCATCATGGATTGATTAATAGGTTGTGCTTGCAACATCTTGCTAAAAACACTTCGCTTGATTACTAAGGATCCCTTTTATATCGTTCTTCATGCTACTGTAAGCTCACGAAATATCTCAAACACATTTTTTTTGCATGCGAGTCAAACCCTGTAGCACACAGAAGGTTCACAAGGCTGCTTAGTGTCACTCAGCGCGACAGCCCTTACGCCTGTTTACATTATACATATCATTCCTTCTCTGGGTACTTGTTCCCAGGATAAACTTTGTTATACGGGCGTGGACGGCGATACACTTCAATTATCGCGTGAATGAGATCGCTTCTCAGACCAAGTAGTGCGCTTTGTGAACTTCATTACAGTGTTGATGTGCTATTGGGTGTGGTGTTTTGGTTACCTGAAAGGTGAGCAATCACTGAGTGTTTCCTTTATTCTACTGAACTGCATGGATTGATAACCATAATACTTTTATATTCATGATCATGAATGTCTTAAGCCATGTTTATAAAGATGCTATACTTTTTACCTTCATAATTTAACTTATGGCTTACGACTTGTTATTGAATATCCACAGGTGGGACGCCTCCAGGTTCTGGGGGTTGTTATGGGACTTTCGGAGCCCGTTTGCTGGGTTGAGGTAGTTATGTTACTTACTGCTCGGTTTCCTCTACCAGGGGAAACGTCGGAGCGCTTTGTATGTTGACACGGTGGCCTTTGGCCCAAGTGGCGTCTTCGGTCTGAATTACTGCTTAACTATCTTCTCCTGGCAATCGCTGGAGTCTGAATGTATCTCGTGGCAGGATGTGTGAAGGGATTGTTACTTTAATGATAGTCATATTGCTCGGTTACCTGTGATTCAGGGGTAACGTCGGAGATTTGGGGTATTGACACAACGGCCCTTGGCCAGCGTGATATCCCGGTTCCTGGACTGTCTTTTTGTAACAATCGTTAAACTCAGCACGTCTGACCATACACCTAGCGACCAAAGAGTTAGAGTGAGTCTGTGTGATGACTCCTATTAAGTCTGTGTGATGACTTAATGATCAGTCTGTGTGATGACAGTCAGGATCAGTCTGTGTGATGACGATCCCGTGATTCAGTCGATGACGAATCCGTAATAGTAGTTGGGGTACATTAATGTCATGGTTAATAGTAGATTTATGCATGTGATGTCATGAGTCGGTTGAATACGGGAGATACTCATAAGTCTTTTTCTAAAAATAGGTGTTGGCCCCGACAATCCGATCATATCGCCCTTATCGCTTGCCAAAGGAGGATAACTCGTCGTTTTGTCACCAAGTAAGTGACTTTAATACTACCCTGACATTGTTGCCCATACCGAATTGTTTACGTACTGCCCATGTAGTAAAAATGTAATGGTACGGGGCGGTACTTAGAAATCTTCTAAGATGAGATGTTTTCACGTTTATCGTTATATTGCTATTATCATATTATCAATTTCGAATCCTACACTACTAATGTTTGATTTGATTTTTGTTTCGAAACATCGCTTAGTCACTTAATAATATAGAGAAAGCTCCGGATGTCTAAAAATACATTTATATATTGTCAATGTACTGTGATGATAAATTATTACTTAATTATTTTTTATTATTATTTTGTTATTATTCATATATTTAACTATTTAATAAATAATTTATTAATTACGCATTTATTATCCCAAAATTGGTTACCAGCAAAACTGCTCAATCAGGTATTTCCTTCAAGTCGTCGTTGGTTGTCAGAGCGGTCCGTGGGACCTTTGCTCTTGAGTCACAGTGTCAGTTTGTAAGTCTGTCAGGTCTGGTAACATAGAAACCAGACAATTTTAAGGAAAAAAGGGGAAGGAAAGGAGAGAAGGAAGAACGAGAGCAAAGGGGAAGAAGAGAATCTTTTAGGATAGGCAGCGTTTAGGCATTGTTAAAATCACTTCACAGATTTTGGTATGATCTAAAAATATTTTTTTTTTCTTAAGAATGTGTAAAAATGCTCCAATTTTGGTTGTTCTAAGTTCACGAGTTAATTTTGATTACAGTGCGAGCCGCGGCCTTTTGTGCTTGCGAACTTGCTCGACTGTGTAGTCCACTGACTCACGCAACAGAGGGTTGCTGTGCGATTCCGCTAGGCTATAGCGCCGCTGGGCCTGTTGCTTAATGTAGTCCTTTAGGTAAGGGACATCGAGGTCTCTATGTAGAGTTTCGTTAGAGACATACCATGGGGCATCAGCAATAATGCGCAACGTCCTGCTTTGCAGAACCTGCAGATTTCGCATGTGTGTTTTAGCAATAAAACACCAAGCCGCACATGCGTAAGTCATTGCTGGTCTTATGACCACCTTATAGAGGAATCTTGTTAATCAAACTTAATTTTGACCGTTTACATAATAATGGGTAAAGCTGCCGAAACGTAATTTGGAATTTAGTTTTTAGCGCTTCCATATGGTTCCGCCAAGTCATCCCTTTGTCCAGAATGACACCGAGATACTTAGCGGAGGATTCCCATGGTATACGAAGTCCATTCACTGAAACTTCAGACGGAACGCCGCGACGTCTTTTTGTACAGTAGATTGCCTGCGCTTTCGAATGGTTTATTTTAATTAGCCACCGATCCACCCAATCTAATACTTCCTCCACCGCACTTTGCAGCCTGTCATGGACTAGGTCACCAGACCACGACTGAGCCACCAATGCAGTATCGTCAGCATAGAGATAGACTTCACAGTTGCTGGGACTAGGGACGTCATGGATGTACAGTGAGTAAAGGATAGGTCCAAGGACCGAACCCTGAGGGACGCCGGCTGTAATCAGCCGTGTTGTCGACAGGACGTTGTCAATTTTGATCCGAAATTTCCTACCTTCAAGGAAGGATTTCAGTAGTTTTAGAAGTCAAAAAGGGAAGCCCTTTTGGATTAGTTTATACAAGAGGCCCGCGTGCCACACCTTGTCAAATGCTTTTGAGACATCCAAAAGCAAGATGCCAGTACTTTCGTTAAGGGTGAATCCTCTGGTTACACGTTCCACCAGCCTAACCGCCTGTAGTTCCGTACTATGTTCAGACCGTTCAGGAATCACATGGTGATCTGACGAGAAATTCTCAAGGTGACGTAGAATCACCTTTTCAGCGAGCTTAGACGCAGCTGACAGCAGGCTAATGGGACGATAATCCTGGGGAAATATCGAACCCACCTTCTTTGGAATCATTATAACTTCAGCGGTCTTCCACGCGGATGGGAAGTACTGGATCCTTAGCATGGCATTGACTATTGCCACCAGATAAGTTAAGGACTTCCGCGAAAGCAGCTTCAGCGCCTTATTAGTGATTTGATCCTCCCCAGGTGCTTTACGCACTTTAAGGTCTTTAATATGACCTTGAATCTCTGCTGGTGTGCAATGCGGGATCTCAGGCGATACCGCTGATGTGCTAAGCAAATCTTCGGTTGAAGAAGCTTCTGAAGAAGAATCTTCTGATGAAGAGAAATCACCAACGAATGCGCGACTGTCACTTACGCCGTTGGCCCTAAAATATCTCCTGACAGATCCTACGATGTGTTGCTCCTCGTCGAGGTCATTATCAAGATCATAGTTGGGAGAGAACTGTCTTTCCATGGCATCGGCGAAAACCTCAACCTTCTCCTCTGTCCTGAAGACAATGCCTCCAGGACCGTGAATGTGTGGGATTTGTTCACGCTTTCCGTTCTTGAGCGACTTCGCCACCTTCCAGAGAGGAATGCTTGAGTCAAGCATCCCCGCCAGAAAGTCGTTGCATTGCTCATTGCGGAATTCATGAAGAGCATTTCTTACTTCGTGAACAAGATTCGTCGCTCTGCGAATGTCATCAGGATGACAAGACCTTTTCGCTTGCTTAATTGCAGCTCTTTTAACAGAAATTTTCTGACGAATGTCTGCTGGCAGAAAAGGTCTGCCGTGTCGCTGCACGGGAAGTACAGCTGCACGTTGCAGAGTTTGCTGAACAAAACTTGTCAACTCTGCTTGAGCCGCATTTATACAGTTCTCATCATCTATGATCGGTATATTGGGGAACTCTTTGAGGAGCGACTTGTATAGCTCCCAATCAATGCGTTTCCTTGGAGGGATTTCATCCCCCAAGATCTGCTCATTAGCCAAAACGACCGGAAGATGATCGCTTGAGATGTCATACATGATTCGAGAAGTGATACTGTAGCTACAGTTCTTGGATAATGCCAAATCAAGAACATCAGGTGCCTGAAGATGATTAAATGGGTGGTGCGTCGGCTCCTCAGTACTATGTATGAGGTAGCCATTTCGTATCACATGGTTGTACAGTCGGATCCCACTGGTGGAATTCAACCTGGAATGCCATGCTCGATGTTTGCAGTTGAAGTCCCCTGCCACAATAAGTGGACCCGAGCAGTCTAAAAGGACTTCCAGATCCGCCTCTTGCAGCCTGTTACCACACCTGACATACACCGATGTGATTTTTAACGGCACACCTCCCGTCATATTGACCACCACGGAAGCCGCTTCGATGCTCTGCATGTCACCGTTTGTGCTTCTGTGGTAGTCAATACCGCGTTTCACTAGCACTGCCAAGCCGCCACCCCGTCCAGTCAATCTATCAGCCCGGATAACATCGTAATTCGGGAAAGCTAGACGATGTTTCCTGCAGCAAGGCCACATCTATACTTTCGTCTACAAGAGCTTGATGAAATGCCCGTCTTTTGGGAATGTCCCTTAGACCCAAACAATTCCAAAAAAGAATTTTGATAAATGCAGGCTGTCGTCGATTGTACCTAGCCATTTGCCGGAAAGCTCGCCTGCAAAGCCTGTGTTGCGCTAATCAGAGGACCTATGATCTGCTGTAAGGACCTTAGCGCGGTTGCCAGGTCCACATATTGCGTGTTCGCAGAAGATCCCACAGAGGGGGCAGCCCGGGTTGCATCCCTAGCTGCATCCGCGTAACTTACATTGCGCCTTTGCGCTATCACTTGCAGATTTTTCTTAGGGGCAAATCTGCAAGTTCGGCTATTCGCTGGATGCCCCCCTCCACAGTTCGCGCACTTTCGTTCCTCTTGTTCTGTTTGAGGGCATAAGTGGGTCATGTGGTCAGAAGCACATTTTAGACATTTAGGTGGTGCAGTGCAGTAAGATTGCGCATGCCCATATTTTTGGCAGCGGTGACACTGCCCGATGAGTCTTGAGTTCTTTTGAACTTCGACTCGGATAGCCAAACCTAGCAGCTCGTGTTCGTTGAACAGCTGCTGAGATTTTTCTATCTTGGGCAGTATGACTACCACCAAAGGCATGGGCACGCCGCCACCGCGTTTCAGGCGAATTATGTGCAGGGGGAATATCCCCTCTGTTGCAACTCTTCCTTGATCTCAATTTCCTAAAGTGTCGCATGAACTCCTCTGATTACAGCATGAATGTTCCTCTCCGAGGGTAGAGGGAAAGTGTGATGGGGCACCTCTTCCTCCCTGAAGAGACGAATAATCCTGTGGTAATTATCCTCGGACTTGGGAATTATCCTGATTCCTGCATCGACGACAACCGCGAGTTCGAATTTGATGCCCAAAGAAATAAACTTGTGATTTACGCCTCGCCATCTCGAAGCATCGCGAAGAACGATGGGGGTAACACGTACCTTGCGTGGGGGCTGTGCAATCATGTCTTCTGGTGCCTGAGATGTCGAAGGCGTGGAAGTAACCGATAGATTAGGCACAGGCTGTTTATTCGAGTCGCTTGCAGTTGAATGAGACGTTTCAGACTGCGATTTTGGTGGAGGTAGAGGAGGAAAGCCTGTCGTGTCGGTCTTGTTTCGTCGCGTTTTACGGGGCTTAACCTTGGTATTTACCTTGGTAAAACCGTCAGGGAGTGTATCGTCGTCTGTGGAAAGATCGCGTGAATTATTTAACGGTCTCTTAAGATTGACAGCTTTGTCTTTACTGGGATTTTTGGGAAGTGTTTGGGATGAATGTGTAATATTTAGATGAGAAGGTACCTGGGTTTTCAGTAGGAGGTCTAATTTAACTGTTAGGTCGGTAATTGTCCGCTGCTGGGCTTCGTTGATCATCATCAATCTTTCAATGGTCTTCTTATCATCGTCCTTTTTTGACAGCTCCTGTCGAACCATCTCCAATTCGGCTCTCAACTCCTCTATGGTCTGCTCCTTCGACACCATCTCCATTGCCATGGTGGAAGCACCATTTCCTGACCCCCCTGGGTCAGTTTCCATAGTAAATACCTCGGTTATCTCGCTTTTCGTCTAAAAAATTTTCCGGATCGAAATTACGGGACAGCTGCTATCAGTGCCCTATACAGGGCGATAGGTATTTCCTTTATTGAGGATATTTTATGCATCTCTGCTCATAGAATATTTTTTTAATAAGGGAAATATCATTTTCAGCGGATTTTAAATTATAAACAAACTGAATGCTTGACACATTCCTAATCTCCCGGCGCATTCTTTGAATTCCTTCGATAGTTCCTCCAGATCTCCCGGCAAGTAGGCGGCGCAACATCTGACAAAACGTCAACGGTGTTGCCATTGTTTAACGTGCAGCTCCCACTTCTTCAGTCTTATGTGTTTTGTGGAGTAAGCGTTCTTGCGCGTATGTATATTTTGTGTGGTTCTTGCGTTCTTTCAGTGTAGGTATATGTTTTGTGGTTTTGCGTTTGTGTGTTGTGTGTCCGCGGCTTGATATTGTTGTACATATTAGTGGGATCCCTTACTATTCTTTATTAAGGACTCAAAATCATTTCGGCAATGATTTCAGAACCATCAAACGGAGCTTTCAAACGTAGTTTCATTCAGCACTGAAGATTTTACTTGGAGAAATAAACCGCTTCAACCATGGACTGTGTCAATGCACTTTAATAGCGTCTGCAACTATTAAGAATGGAAAGGTAAATTAAATGGCTCACATAAGTTTCTTTTAAAAAATTGCATAATGAGGTAGATACAGTGTTGGAGAATACCTTGGCAAGAAATCCGTGAGAAGGAAGAGTTAGTTTAAACTTTTCATTGTTTTTGTTGTGATCATTTCTATGGAGTACTAAAAATGCCCATTTTAATTTGTTCACTCCAAGAGAAAACGTTTCTGTGGAGACTTGTTATTAGTGCTGCAATAGTACATAAAACGTGCTGGCCTGTTTTCTAGTTCCTCATCCAGCCAATTCTTCAATGAGTTGGCAGTTTCATCACTGAGGGAGTTCCACAAGTATACCACATTATTTGATAATTTCTCCTTTTTAACTTGGATGCTTTCTTGTAATTTTTTGGTATTCCCTCGGAGATGCAGCTTTGTTCATATTGAAGATTTGACAGGTACTTGAGTAGCAGCCACTGATGATCTTGAATGTTTCAGTCAGGTCCCCTTTTAATCTTCACTTATAAAGTGTTGTCAAATTCATAGCCCCTAAAGATTGTTCATATATGCCAAATATTTGATCTCTGGTATAATTTGTGTTGTTTCACATTCATGTAGACTAGAGAAATGGCAGTTAAACTGTGTAAGAGTTACATGTATTCATATGCAACCAATCTTGTCGCCAAGGATGGTGTGGCTCTCAGAAATCTAGTGTGAGTAGAACATGGTGCAGAACATCTGTGCATTGAAAAAATGTCAACATAACGTTCCACAAAACTTATGGGCATTTCACGCATCTTTTGCCATGCTTTGTAGGTTTCTTACTTTATGGTTTATTGATGTTATCTAACATTTCTGCTTGCAACTTGTCTAACCTGTCAAAAGTGGAGTTGTTTACAGTCATGATGATAGCAACAGAGAGAGAAATGCCACGTGCACAGAACCTGAAATTAATTTGCTGTTTAACCTCCTATCTGTAGACTTCATGTTTACATTGCATTCTTTTTGAATTGTTTTACAGTCTGCATGCAAGCTCTTGCAACTTCAAGACTGCCCTGTTTCCTCTATTCGTACCAGCAAGGTTAGCCAACCTAAACAAATGAAATGTTCACTGTTACATTTAGAATCTCTAATTCTCGTTTTTATCCTGTGGTTTTAATATCCAAAAAGTAGTTTCAATCACTGACTATCTAACATCAAAACACAAATGTTTATCTGTAAATAATTAAATATAACCACACAAACTACTGGAGCAGTCTAGGGAAATTTGCCTGCATTGGTAGTGGTGATGAGTTACCAAAGATTGAGTTACTGTTTCACCAGAATTGCAGACACACTTACATGGAAAATCCAACCAACTGAATTTCATGCAAGATCCTGGCAGTTGCATTTTCTTCTAGAGGGGATAACATGGAACACTTGCTATAAAAAATAACAGCACCCAAAAATGCCAAGTAGATGTACTCAGTAATTCAAAACTCTCATTTAACCTTTCAGTACTCGCGCCACAAATTTCACCATGAGTACTCGCTTGGGGTATTTATATACCCCAATTGAAATAAGCAACAAATAGAATACTTTCAAAATGTTTTTGATTATTTTCATAGTCGACAGGGTATTAACTGAATGATTTCAAATAACACAATATTTATTGTTGAAATAAATTCATTGAGTAACACAAAATTTATTATAAAAAATAGATATTTACATAACTAAAGCTACTAAGTTTCAGTTGCTTTTAACTTCTGGAGAACCTTCTTTCTCAAAACAACCTCTGCATGTAATAATTTGATGCATTTTACATAGAAATTTACTGCATCTTAGGCAAGTTATTGTTGTCTTTTTGTCCAAATTTCGGGGGCATAAATTGCATCTTCCTTTTCCAGTCTTTTGTTTCTTTTTTGGTTGTTGATCTTCGGCATCAATATTGGAAGTAGAAGCTGATAAGTCATTAATCTTTAGGAGAATACATCCCCGCTGTTTAATATCTTTTGGTACATTTTGAGAATAAATCCTCTTCAGTATTTGTGGCCGCACAAGCTCCGCCGAAATATTTTTTATAAAGAATTCTCTTTTAATTTTCTCAAATTTATTATTCATTGCATGCAGGCAAAGCGCATTGATACCTGCAATATTCAGGATATCGAAGAAAGCTGTAAGTGGCCAACGCCTACTATTTCTTGCCACATCATAGTGTGCACACAATTTATCTACAGTATCCACACCCGATTTTGTACGATTATATTCAAGCACAATTTCTGGTTTCAGGGAATCTTTATCTACTTCGCAATCATGGTGCATTGTGGATAATAATAAAACGTTCCTATATTTTTTTGGAACATAAGAGACTAATGTACAGTAATCTGTGAAGGCAAAAATGCTACTATTTTCAGTACGTGAACGTGTGTTTGTAAATTCTAAAGGGACTTCCCTCTTGTTCTTTTTTAGTGTGCCAATCATGGTAAGCTTATCCTTGAGCAATTCTTTAGCAAGAGGGATACTTGAAAACCAATTGTCCATGGTGATATTTCGTCCAGTACCTTTCAGCGGTTCCACAAGCCGCTTTACGACATCCGACGGCTTATTACTGACTAAGAATGGCCCTTCAGGTTGTGCTCCAGCATAAATCTCTAAATTATAGGTATACATTGTTTTTACATCAGCCAATGCGTATATCTTCAGACCATATTTATTGGGTTTATTAGGTATATATTGTTTGAATGGGCACCTACCACGGAAAGCAACCAGCTGTTCGTCGATTGTCAAATAAGAACTTGGACTAACTGAAGTTCTGCACTTGAAGACAAAACGTTCAAAGATGTCCCTTATTGGTGCCAGCTTATCCAAACTCCGTCTTGCCTCCCTAGTAGAAATATCATCAAAGCGTATACAACGACATAAAAACCTAAAACGATTGTCTGTCGGCCAGATTTCAAACAACCAGCAAGATATAGAACGCCTACAAATGCTTTCATTTCGCAAACATCAGTTGGTCGCGCATCTCTTTTACGGGTAAAGTTTCCCCGGAGTTTTTCTATATATATATTGGTACATTCTACTATTCTGGTAAACATGGAATCATCTATGAAAACGTGGAAACAGTCTAAATGCGATTTGGCCTTTTTTGCGTCTCCAGTAGGCCCTGGAATTTTCATGACGAGGTTATGTGCTTTTGTCCTAGATGAAGATGGTTTTGTTTTCTGCCATATAAATGTCTTGTCTTTCCCTACATATATGTCAGTTCCGCTCAATATATTTTCTGCTTGTAATTCACCTTCACTACCTTCATTATCAGAATTTGGGTCCTGCTCAGTATCTGAACCGCTTCTTTGTACCTCTTCCTGGTCGCCATCATCTTCTTCCGAGTCTTCTTCCCCGTAGACCTCCTCGTCGGACTCTATTTCTTCAAACCATTTTAGCCACTGCTTGGGATCATTGCTACGTACGTTGTCCATGGCTTTGCCTTGGAAAAGTTGAAAATATTTATCAGAAATACGTCAAATACTTTAAAATATAACCTACCAAAACTTTTACGTCAGTACTCGCGTGGGGTACGTAAAGACCCCAATCAACTTCAATTGCGTATTCTTCAACCTTCTCGAACTCAAATGACACTCGGTGCTAGCAGATATAACTACACACTGAATCTAAGGAATACGCGAGGCGGCGAGCTATTTCGCATTTCCCCCTCCATAGTACTCAACTATGAATGACGCGTGGGGTATATAAATACCCCGCGCGAGTACTGAAGGGTTAAGAAGTATGGGCATAAAATAGACGGAGTGTGATTCCACACATT